ATCTTTCTGTGTCTTGTCGAAAAAGTTTTTGCTTTTTCAAAATAAGAAACATATTTTCCTCTATTATATTTCTAGAAGTGTTGTAGTTTTGACTTCTACACTCAGGTCTATAATCCACTTCAAAGTATGTTTGTATCTAGTTTGTGATACGAATCCAATTTCGTTTTCCCTCCTATGCAAAGCCAGTTTTCCAGCACGGTTTGTTGAAAATACTTTCTCTCCCTGTTACCTTGATTTGCCACTTTAATTGAAAACCAATTTGACTGTGTGCCTGTGGTTTGACTTCAGGCTGTCCTAGTTCACTGAGCTATTTATCTATCTACATGCCAGAGTCATACTGTGTTGATTTATTGTAGCTTTGCTATTCATCTTGAAATCAAGTAGTATATGTTCTACAACTTGGTTCTTATTTTAAATATTTTTTTAGTTCATCTAGGCATTTTTGTTTTGCATGCAGATGTTCAGATAAGCTTGTCTACAAAATAGCTTTGTGTCATTGATTGGAATTATATTGAATCAGTAGCTACACTTAGAAAAAAATGAAATCTTAGCAATACTGAATCTTCCAGTGTATATAGTACTTCTTTCTACTTGTCTTCTTTGATTTCTTCCAGAAGTTTTAAAAATAGTGTTTGGTATAGAGATCTTACAAATATTTCAACAACAATAAGCAACAAGTGATGCTAAATTTTCCCCCAACTTGCTGGTACATTACTGATATTCAGAAATTAAACTGATTTTTGTTTATTGACCTCGTATTTTACAGCCTTGCTAAATTTAATATGCCACGTATTTTGCTCAATGTGCAATAGAATGTCATATCTGCTTTTGTAGCCCTCTATTATGCAATCATATTTGTCCCAGATACGCCACTTTCTTTGTTTGAAGGATGAGTAAAGGTGCCTAGGGTTTGACATTTGGTATACTCTTACTCCACGGAGGACCCTTAGTGACACTATTGAGTAAGCATTGGACTGCTAAGCACAGACCACTGGTAAAAACCCAGCAACTTGTCTTTGGGAGAAAGATGAAGCTCTCTGCTGTTCCCATGGATAAAGAGAAACCCCATATAGAATCTCTGAGTTGGAATTGACTTGATGGCAGTGGGTTTTACTCTAAGGCCCACTCTCTTACCAACCCACTATTGTATATCAAGAAGCCCTGGGGGCCTCCTTCTTAGAACACTCAAATGCTAACCACCAGGTCAGCTGTTCAAACCCACAAGCCACCTTGTGGAAGAATGAAGTGTCAGTCTGTTTTCATAAAGATTCACAGCCTTGGACTTCCTATGAAGCATTTTCCCCTCTGTTCTTAATTGTTGCTACGAGTTGAAATCAGGTTGATAGCAGTGGGTTCATAGTTCATATCTGGATATTGGAATTGAGTAATACTTTAGGGTTTCCCTAGATTCCACTGGGAAATTTTTATGCCATCATGTTTTACAAGGACATTAGAACTCTTAAAACAGATAATGAGAAGAACATGATAGACTAGCGATTCTTCCAGCCTAAGAAGCTTGGGCAGTGTTTTCTCGTGTTCTCTTACAGAGCATTGGTAAAGATGTCCTATGTAATTACAAAGTTTAGTCCCCTTTTACCCACGCTATGATTTTACATTAATTGTTCCCATTTTATGGAGGATACAAAGCTCATTTTCAACTCTTCTCTCCCACCATGTGTTGTAGGAAGCGACTTCTATACAGCCAGAGACCTGACAGAAGAGATCTGGGCGTTCGTCTCCGAGAGGGACGGGCTGGAGGAGCTCCTCAACAAGCTGTTGGTGCTGGGATCCAGGACTAGCAGAAAGTTGGAGAATATTAAAGAAGATCACAGTAAACTGAGAAAAGAGCTGAAGCACGAGGAAACGGCCTACGGTAAGTGGTTCACAGCTGTTGACCTATGGTAAATACTGTGTATTGTGTCACTGCACTCTTTTCTTCACTGTGAAGGATGTCTTGAGACACAGATTGCTTTCTGGAAGGCTTTTTTGGGTTTTGCCTTGGAAAATAGTATGGAATTTCTTGCAAGCTTTTCTTTATTAAAAAATTAT